CCAGCTCACAATTGAGCCGTTACAAATCACCCATCAGCAACTCTTCATCTTCTGCGTCAGAAGATGAAGATTTGAACTCGGATGATTCGTTCATTGATTTAGAAGAGAACCTGAAGTACAAGCGCAAACGCATAGACCGACGAGACAAGGAAACACGTGACAGGCATGTTCAATCCCGCCTCGAAAAGTTAGCACAGACCCCAGTTAGGCCTTCTCCATACGATGCTTTGTCCAAATCTATTCAAGACTACGTAAAATTGTTGCTTGGTATTCAGCGCAAGGTCAAACGTGACCCTTCTATCATATCGAATAGTATTCTTCCGGACCCTCCCTCACTTACTGAATGTGAAGCCTGGGAACAACGCAAACTCGATAAACGAATATGGATCGAAAATTGTGTCGATCAAGCCACTTACCGCTATCGACGAAAGTATCCAAATGCCAAGCCAAGTCAGATACTCGCTGTTCAGGCTGACGCAGCGGAAGAAGCGGTATCAAATATTCAGCCATCTGTTTTTGTCTCGCAGATACCATCAATAAATCCAGGCCTGAAGTATTCTATTCGAGAGCTACGTACGTGTGAAGGCGCGTTGGCTCTGGCTGGGTTCTCAAGATTTACATTTGATTGGAGAAGTTCAATGAAGTCTGCTTGGAACGAAGCTGTTGCGGCAATCGTCCTTCAAGAATGGGCAAAATGTTACGCAAGGGGTGGGGCCGACGCTTATTTGATTAACAGTCGTCAGGCCACAGCAGAAAATCAGTTTCTTGTTCTTGAACGGTGGTACGAATACAAAAAAAGGGATTATTCAAGTGGCTTAACAGAAGACAGCGCAACTACGGATGCAGATGGGCAGCGAGGGGAGGATATCAACCCTTCTATAATCAAAGAGGACTTGAGACGAGAAAAAGTTGCACGGAAAAACTCAAAAAAAGAGTGGGTCCTCAACTTAGTAGCATACATTGGCGAGGTGACTTCACTAATACATGTGTTCATTTTCATGCTAGGTTTTAGCTTTTTGATTGGCAGCGATGCAAAAGTACTTTGCCACAAACTTAAAAATGTACAACATTCTATCAGATACAGCAGTTCATTCAGAAGACGAAGTTGATGACTCTGGCACGCGTCATTGAGTATATATACCCTGGAGATCACGGGCATTAACCCATTTCTTGGGTGAACTTGATAAGCTGTACAAGTTGAGTCAAGCTGGTGCCAGTGCACGCGCTTATGGTCTCGCAATCAAAGTTTTAGACCGTGGCAAATATGTGCAAATAGAAGATGATGTGAAAGATGTTTGTTATCCTCCAAAGGGATTTCCGCGATCATTGACAAGCTCTACATTTTTGAATTCATTATCAAGGGCGGAGATTGCTGCACTTCAGCTCTCTTCCACGGATTATGACATCCAAGGTATGGTTGTCAAAGCACAGGACTGGCGCAGACGCGTCTGAGATCATTGTCTTTCATTACTTATTTTTCTGTTTGTAATTTATCGTCATTGCTTCGTGAAGGGATTTGTCATGCTTTGTTTATGTACCATTAAATACTATTTTTGATAAGATTCAAGTTTTAAGCTTGTCAAATTGGGCAAAGAGGATACGCGCTTTTTGAGAGATAGACTGAGAATTTCTCTTGCAAAAGCTATCAATATTCAGATCTATGATGTCAAGTTTGCATTCTTCTTTGTATGTGTCATCATTATGAGAGTGGCTCATCACACCATGATTGGATAACCGAATGTTTTCATACAGGACGGAACAGCAAGAAATTGATCAAGACAATCGATTTAAATCTAGTTCTAATTTAATTATTACCATCATTCTATCCTTCCTTTTGTTTCAATTTTTTGTTATCTTTCAGTTATGTATTCAATTCTATCATCAAATGGAATTTGTCATTCTTAAAGAGCAATCGTTTGGAGGAGATCTTTCCTGTCATCGAGCTAAAAATGCAAGATCCCTTCATTTGTGTGTGTGCCTTTGTCCGTCTTAGAAGCTAAAAAGAGTTTGAGTATCAAAGGACTTTTTGAAAGTAGTTCCAGTAACAAAGGACTTTTTATCCCAAATTCCTTTCAACACTCGACTCTCAACATTGGAGTTCTGGAGTTCTGACCTTTAAATACCATCAGTTTCAAGTCTCCTCCGAATCCCGACAGGTTTGATCAACATCAATTCATCAATCATCCAGGTGCCTTTTGTGCCATCGCCCTTCTTCAAATTCTAGTCGAGCAAGAAATCATGAGTCATCAAGGTCAGCCCATGATATGTCTATCTATCTTTATTTGCTTCTGTTGAAGCCAATTTTATTTCATTTTAAGGCGGTGAGACAATGTTCTGGAAGGATGATGGACCAGCAACCTCAGTGAAAGCTACAAATCGAACAGTAGCTGATTGGCTACCAGATCGCAATTCAGCGTACTATGTGGCAACGACCGATTTTATAAAATTTCTGCTTGGTCGTATTGCATTAGACTCCCCTTATCCAACCGAACGGACCTCCTCAAAAATCACACAGCTTCCAGATCTTACATTTGAACAAATAGTCACCGACCGCTCAATCTTTTCAATACCATTGGAACCTGCCACTTTTAATTTGGAATCACCATGAATCTCTCGTCGACAGGAGGAGTGCTGGGAAACACACAAGCAGCAGTTCCTACTCGACTTGGAACAGGCAGGGATCCCTAGGGCCACGTTTGCTTGGAATCTCTCCGACAAATCAAAGTGGAATCAAGTCATGCTGGCGTTTGTTGTTAAGCACTTCCAGCGAGCTCATGATACAGGCGCATTCGCTAAGTACCCCATCAACGAACAGCATGGGGGTACTAATGTCTGTCTTGGAGTTCTAGAGCGATGGCTTCGCGGACACTGCCAGATTTTCAAGAACAACCGCATAA